AAACGTCCATATTCACATCACACATATATTATTGTACAAGAAAATAAACTGTCGATAAACCAGAACATAGCAATGTTTCAAACTACATAATGAGAAAAATGCTTTAAGTATTTAAAAGTAATCTGAGGACATGAAGTACCCTACAACAACTGCCCCCCCCTCAAAAAAATTGCACAAAGAGTTTTACAACATTGAAAATTTATGTTAAATATAGACTATATTTTTTAATAAAACCTCACAACTCTTGTAACTAAAAAATATACTACACTTCCAGTTGCTGCAACACAAAAGCAAAATATGTGCACCAAGTCCATCACACTTCTCAAACAAATGATAAAGATCCATCACTGATGTACTATAAATGGCAAATAACAAGCAAAATATCAGCAATCCACAGGATATAAATGTTTTACATCAAGTAATGACCAGGGCCAAATATCTTAGAGTAATCTGAGGATAATTCTGCAGTAGTCCAAGCAAAAATATTTGATCAACTGGTGTAATGTTATAGCAGATTTTGCATCATATTAATATCATGATACATGCTAGGTATTTTACACAAGCAAATCTCATATCAGTCATTTGAATCAGTACACTATACATTCAAATACAATACAGGACCCTTGCTCATAAGTATTTTCCATTTGGATATCCATCACATCACGCTAATAACCCTATAATAGCCACCTATTATAAGAACTATTGTAAAATCTAGCTAAGAAAATGACATATGATAATCAAATTAAATATTCAAAAAATAAAGCTAGAACCACTTGGAGAATAATAAATAGTGAAGTGTTAAAGAAAGGAAATAGAGACATTATTCAAACCTTGGACATTGAAGGTAAAAAGAATACTAACTTGAATGATATTGTTGAAACATTTAATAGGTACTTTAGTGGTATAGCAGATAATATACATAAATACATAAAAGGAAATGGTAAAACTATTAAATCAAAAACTACCAATTATATGACATACTTGACTGATGTATTTGAGAATCCATTACCTAGCATAAAAATTATAAAAACGAGTAGGGAAATAGAAAGGATTATATGGTCCCTAAAATCTAGTCAAACCCATGGATATGATGAAATTTCGAATAATATACTCAAAGCCTGTAAAACCTTTATTAGCGAACCGATAAGTTACTTATGTAACAGAACTATGCATGAGGGTATTTTCCCAGACACACTAAAATATGCTACAATTATGCCAATATACAAAAAAGGCGATAAA